ACCCGTTAATGAGTGGTAAAAGTACAATTTCAATCAATATACATTTATCTGGTAAGTATTTGCCAAGATTAATTGATAACAGTGCATATTGACAAAGAAAGGAAAAATTGAAGAGATGTCCGAGATGGTTAATCCCTCGGTGATTGTGTGGGCTCAATTTGTCCATGTCAGATGTTTGATATGTTATTACTAACCTTTTAAATTTGACACTTTGAAACAAAATATAGTTACCTGTCTTGTCTTATGTAAGGCAAAATTAGACAAGAAAAGGGCGCATCTTCTGTTTTGTGCATTAATGTTCCAGAAAGGTGAAAGGTCAGATGAAAATGTTCAAATCCAGTAATAATAACTAGTTATTTTTAATCTGCAGTAGCACCTACATTTACGTTTACATTACGTAAAAACAGCTAAGAATAAATAAAAAGGAGAATGAATTACTCATAAAATACAGGAAAAAAAACTACATCTCCCCTCACATTTTGAAATGCTTATTCTCTTATTAGTTTTTTTTAATCAGACACATACAATTTGTTAGCTTTATTTTAAGTAACTGAAAATGAAAAAAGTCGTCTATGTAATATCTACTGATGAATTTAACAATTCTACTTTTTGCTAGCAAGGGATAACGCTTCCCACGCTCGGGTGAGTCAATATACCGACATAGACGATCTTGAGCACCAGCCATTTCGTTCCCCGCTTCCCATAATGCACCGCTGTCGTCAAAATAACATTTCGCCATTTCAGGTTAGGGGGAGCTACTGTAACTCGCCAAAGAATTAGGTCAGCAGAGCGGAGGTGGAAGTGTCTGTATCGAAAACGTTTCTACTTCGTTTTTCTATCTTCAGACGGTTTGGTGGTTGTGTTCCGATGCGTGTGGTCTGGCTGGTGCGAATGCGTTTTTGCTGCGTAGGTCCGGGTTGAAGTGTAAAGTCGCTGTTCGGATTTTCCTGCTAACGGCTAGCTGGGTCGCCGTGTGTGTAAACAACGAGGTAAGACGTTATGCCAAACCGGCTAACCGGGCATGTGTCATGGTGTCGGGGTATGTTATCTATTTCTTTAACCGTATGTGACTTACGACGTGGGAACTGTGATTTTCGTGTTTAATGATGGTCAATGTAGAACGATTCCTTCCCAGTTGTACTAAACGAGCTAACGTAAACAGAGCTAACAGTTGCAGTAATTGACGTGATTATCGTGTGAATGACCCTGGAAACACTTCAGAATGAATTCAGCCGTGGATATATGTTTATTTGACAAATTATTCAGTTTTATTAATTATCTGAACATAAGTGTTCATAGCTGCCGATTGGTTTCTTATTTCGTCTAATTTATGCTGTGGTAAATTCGTAAGATATGCATAAAAAAATCTCGATAGTATTGACGCGTAATCTCCATGTGTAAAAAGTAGACGTATTTGTTTTAAACTTGCAATATCAGTATAAAAAGAGACTTCTCGAGAAATGTGTACGTGCCAAACGTGCTGGTGTTAAAATCTGGTTAGCTTCTCTTCATTTATAGTTGTTTGACAAAGATTGTGTTTCTGTGTGTGAAGATTGCCATAACCGCCCAGTTAAACAATTTGAATAAGTTTGGACATTGTTTTAAAAAAAATGTTTGTATGTCTTTCCATGACACTAAAAGTATGTCAAAGTTGAGACAAAGAAGAAAGATGCCTTCTAGAACTGCTATCTCATGAAAAACCAGTTACTTATAGATATGATCTGACTGAGGTGAGGCAGTATAATCAGCAGCCAACATCCAAACTGTTTACTGAGCATGTCAGAGAAAAGCTGCCGCTCATTTTAAGGGGCGGAGGGAGAGGGCGTGGAAGTATAGAGAACGATGGAATTTGTTTTCCCCATTCAGAATGAAGCGGACAAACGGAGCAGAGGAAGGCAGCAAAGGCTGCTCCAGTGAAAGTCCCCCCGAGGCTTGCAAGAAGGTGAGGAAGCAAATGAGCGAGGAGCCAGGTCCGGCGGCGGCCGGCGACTCACCGGACTGCGACTGGTCAGCGCTGCCCCAGGAGCTCCTGCTGCACATCTTCCAGTACCTCCCGCTGCTGGACCGGGCTTACGCCTCGCAGGTGTGCCGCGGCTGGAACGACGCTTTCCACATGCCGGAGCTGTGGCGGTGCTTTGAGTTCGAGCTCAATCAGCCGGCCAGCTCCTACTTGAAAGCCACGCATCCCGACCTCATCAAGCAGATTATAAAAAGGCACTCCAACCACCTGCAGTATGTCAGCTTTAAGGTAAGAATGCATTTGCTTCATTATTTTTTTTTTTACCGGATCCCATGTTTACACCTTTTACCATTTAAATGCCCCGTTTGGTTTAACAGTGAAACGTTTTGTGTCTGCTTGTGCCGGTCAGGTGGACAGCAGCACGGAGTCAGCAGAAGCAGCATGTGACATTCTGTCACAGTTGGTGAATTGCTCGCTGAAGACCTTGGGGCTCATCTCCACAGCCAGGCCAAGTTTTATGGAGGTTCCGAAGGTAGAAAAAAAAACTCTGTTTGGTTTTAATTAACGTTCGCCTTTCTTTTTATTTTGTTATTCAGACCAGGGCATGCCACGTGGTTTTATGATAGCTTGAATAATTTGTGTTTTCTCAAGTGCAGATTAGGTTAAAAAGAAGTGCCTCTTCTCACAGGAGGACAAGGCCAACTTGATCTGGCCTCAAAGGCACAATGTTTACAGTCAACGCACTATTTTGACTTTTTCAGTGCACACACAGATCTTTTCAGGAACTCTTGATCTCTGTGACCTGGAAAGCTTATCGCACAAGCGTGTCATTGAGCAGCATTTCATAGAAACCTTGAACTAAGCTTGGGTGTGAGGGTATTCTTTGGACTCATTAAAGACCATCTCTTTTCCTTTGGTTCTGTTTTGAGAAAAGTGCAACGTTTACCCACAAAGTTGACCGATTCCAGGGACTTTGGAAAGTCATTTTCTCTGTCACACACCCAAAGCTGAGGATTTGCGGGCTGCTTAAACATATTCTAAAGGTTTTCCTTTGTTTTCAAACTGTATTGTTTCCATCCGTCCCTCTCCCCACAGTCTCACTTCATCTCGGCTCTGACGGTGGTGTTCGTCAACTCAAAATCGCTTTCCTCGCTGAAGATCGACGACACGCCGGTTGACGATCCGTCCCTGAAGGTGCTGGTGGCCAACAACAGCGACACCCTGAAGCTGCTGAAGATGAGCAGCTGCCCCCACGTCTCCCCCGCAGGTACGCTGCATTTCTTTTCTTTATTTCTCCTTAAAAAATTTTTGTTATCACTGCGGTCAAATGTGTCCTGTTGCAAGGTACACACCTTTGCCATCGGGTGCCTGTGTCCTGTCATGCAAATGGGAGTGGGAGCTGTGGGTTTATGTTAAAAATGTGCTCGGAGGTGGCTTTGCTTGTTTCCTGGAGAGGCTTCTAATTCCCGGTACACTTCCTGGCTCAGGGATCCTGTGCGTGGCGGACCAGTGCCACGGGCTGAGGGAGCTGGCGCTGAACTACCACCTGCTCAGCGACGAGCTCCTGCTGGCGCTGTCCTCGGAGAAGCACGTCCACCTGGAGCACCTGCGCATCGACGTGGTGAGCGAGAACCCGGGCCAGCACTTCCACGCCATCAAGAAGAGCAGCTGGGACGCCATGGTGCGCCACTCGCCCAAGTTCAACCTGGTCATGTACTTCTTCCTCTACGAGGACGAGTTCGGCCCCTTCTTCAACGAGGAGATCCCCGTCACGCACCTCTACTTCGGCCGCTCGGTCAGCAAGGAGGTGCTGGGCCGCGTGGGCCTGCACTGCCCCCGGCTGGTGGAGCTGGTGGTGTGCGCCAACGGCCTGCGCCCGCTGGACGAGGAGCTGATCCGCATCGCCAAGCACTGCACCCAGCTGTCGGCCATCGGCCTGGGCGAGTGCGAGGTGTCCTGCAGCGCCTTCGTGGAGTTCGTGAAGATGTGCGGCCGGCGGCTCTCGCAGCTCTCCATCATGGAGGAGGTGCTCATCCCGGACCACAAGTACTCCCTGGACGAAATCCACTGGGAGGTGTCCAAGCACCTGGGCAGAGTCTGGTTCCCGGACATGATGCCCACCTGGTAGAGGCCGGCCAGGGGCCGCAGGGCGGGCAGCCCCCCCCCCAGGTCTGCGCTGCCAGGGATTCCCGTCCAACACGCTCATCTGCGGGGAAATAAAGCTCTGAGCTCCCGTGGGAAGCGAGGGGCGGGGATACGACGCCTTCACACAGAACCTCCACAGTCTCTGCTCCATCTCATCTTCAGTCAAAGGGTCCGCGAGCCCCCGCCTCCCCACATCTGAGCGTTTGGGAATAAGCCGGCTTTTTCCAGCAGCTGTGTCTGCACCGTCTCAGCTTTTATTGGGTTTTGATTTGACTCCTCTCTCGGTAGACAGCGGGGGGAATTAGCCGGGTGCCCAGTGGCACCTTGCTCCGCCGCCACTCGGCCTGCTTTCCACGCTCCGAGGTGGGAGATCCGCGTTCTGTGACACCATCTGGCCGTCTGGCTGTGGAGGAGCGGCAGGGACCCACACCTGCATTTACAACCACAGGGCCGCAGATAAACTGGGAGAGAAGCAGAGATTTGTATATAGGTCTCTAAATCTGTGATGTGAAGGTAGATGGTGTCATTCAGATCCCTCCCCCCGCATCACACATTCTGTATATTCGCTTTTTTTTGTATTGATAAAAGGTTTATGTACAGTTAAAGATGTCCTACGCACCTTACATTTAAACCAAATGATAGTCAGAACAAACCCAGTCCTAACCGCCAAGACTCGTGATCTTTTCTGTTTTGTTTTTTTGTTGCTTTTTTTGTTTTTGTACTGGGTCCTTGTGGAATTGCACATGAAGAAATGTGTATTGAAGTAATAAATCTGTTATAAGTAAGAAGAAAACAATCAATTATTGTATGTAAATAGTGCAGAGTGAGTTGGGGGGTGCACGCTAATTGTGCGTCCACACCGGGGACATAGAACTCATCCTTTTGTCTCTCAGGTGTTTTGAGTAAATCTAGTTCCGATTTGCGTTTCATTTGCGTCTTCTGTTATTTGCCCGCTGAAGCTCTTAAAGAAGCTCCCCCCACACCCGCTCTTGCATTTCAGTCAGACGAGTGGAACTTACTGTTTTGTTTTGTTTTTCCTTAAGAAGGAAGTCAAATGCATCTGTATATAAAAAAAAAGAAAACGCTGTGTGTTTGGATCATTATGAGTAGAAATGTACTTATTTCTTTATTTCCCCCTCTGTCGGGGGTCCATGTCTGTTTTAACCAACGGTCTGTTCTAAAAACCAGAGTGGGACTTCGTTTTTCTTTTAGCCGGCGGAGACGTTCGGCTGATTAACTTATTGATGCGGTAATTACTTTTGGGATGAATTTATGCTTTTTAATTAAATAAAGAATTGTGGCTTTGTTGCACACAGGTGGCCCAAAGAGCCTCCCACAGATTTTTGAACTTTTTTGAAAAGAGGCCGATACTAGTTTTTTTTTATTTTGTTTGAGAATGTCTTCAGAGGACAAACTTCAGGGTAACGCTATGTATTTTTTTGTATTAGTTGGTTTGATTGTAAGAAATAATTCTATTTTCTCCTAATTTGATTTCAAGTTGATCTGAAACTAAGACATTTCATGAGATGTTCAGTGAATCTGTTCATGTTGTCAAAATCGTAAAAGATCAAATATGTTCATGTTGATAGTACAGTAACATATCGCCCTGATTTTTTTTCTCTGAATTTGCACGGTGGCTCCAAAATGAATTCGCTGTAGTTATTTTCACAGATAAATCGATGTTTGATTTTTTTTCCGCCTCAATTTATTTTTTTCTGTATTATTTTTTTTTGTACAGCCACACGGCTCCACTTCATAAAATGCACGTCAGAAGGGAAGATCGCTCACCTTCCCTTTTTTAGAAATATGCTTGTCAGTAATTGTTTTAATCTCCTACTGTTTAGAGGGTTTTTTTGTGGGTTATCTGGTGCTGATGATGCTGTCCTTTTCTTTAGTGTAGCCTCTGTATGACCAGGAAAAAAAGAAAAAGATAAGAAGCTTCATCCATTCTGCTTTGTCTTTAAATTAAGTGATTGTTTTTGGACATTTGATCTTATACTAAAATTAAAAAATTGTGAATGTATCTTTGCGGCTGGCATTTTTTCAGTTTTCTACACACATAAATTGAGATATAGATAAAGAGATATGGATCACAGGCCAAGATTTTATTTTAAGAGTTGAAATGTAAGTCAGAGGCCTCTAAGGATATTTATGAACAGAAATGTAAGTCATGATGTTGAGCAATTTTCTTCAACACTTAAGAACATTCCCACTATCTTAAATATTTGCTCATCTTCCAGACGAGCTTTCCAACAAAAGCCTATTACGGAGAACCAGTAGTTCAGAGAAGGATATCCTTTTATTCTATCATGGACTATCATGCTCCATAAATATGAAGTATTCTCAATACTGGTTCATTTAGTAGCTTTTTGGGGGCATTCAAGCCAATGATCTCCATCAGTTTGTGGATTGTATCCATCCCACATGGTCTTCCAGTAATATTTCTACAATCGAAGGCATTAAGTGAGGCTTTAGCTTATATCGGCTTTAGATTGGAGCTTCAACAGAAGGGACCCAACACACGAACAACAAAGTCAAACGATAATTTTTGTGTTTTTTTTATGTTAGACTTTCATATCAGTTTTCTTTTACAAAATATGTTTCATTTGAGATTGTTGTGTCTTTGTCGTGCTGTCAGAGACCGCAGGCTTCAAAACACAGACGCTGTTTTTTATCTCAAAAATCTTTTCGAGGAGGCATATGTTGTGAACATGTTTGTAGACTTTCTCCCCAGTGTGTTTTGACCAGGCTGATGAGGGTCATGTGATCTTACAGGGCAGCTGTACCCTGGTGTCATTCCAAGCCTTGACAAGGAAACGCCAGTCCTTGAACGTTTTTTAAGAGTTATTTTACCCATTTTCCCCGGTTTCAAACCTTGTTTTCTTGTGATGGCCTAAATTATTTTGGAACCAGGAAAATTCAGGGGTTTATCTCGCAGAGCATCGTGCAAACCCGCATAGAACACCAGTTATCCTGATTTTAGCCTTAGAGGTGGAATGGTAAAGAGTGTCGGCCGTATATATTTAGCCGTTGGCTAAATGAACCCGAAACAACCAAAACCTGACATAACCAAAAGTTTGCTTCTTTGAGGTGATGGGCTATCTGATATAATTCCACCAGATCTTTTTATTTCCCCGGATGAGACACGTTGTTCCTTTTTTGGTTTCTCACCATTAAATAAAAACAAAGAAATTAAAACCAATTTCAAAAGCGGTCGAGTGGAAAGCTAAGGCAGAGGCACCTCCTCGAACGTGATCCGCACATACGGAGGCTTCATGGGAAGGTGCCAGTACTCAAAGTTGTAGTAGAGGTAGAAGCTCTTCTCCAGCACCACCTTCTGGAACGCCTCCAGCAGGCTGGCGGCGAAGTCGGCGAAGGACTGGTGCGGCCTGAAAGGGTGGTAGAACTGGCGGATGGCCGTGGCCAGGTTTTTCAGGGCCGGCTGGCCGAATATGGAGCTGTCGTTGCCCAGGTACGTGGGCTCCCCGCTGTACAGGTAGATCTTGGTGTAGTTGGTCTGCGAGCGGCTGGACAGGCGCGCTCCCAGCTGGCTCAGCTTCCTGTAGGTGCGGTGGACGAACTGCGAGCAGTCGTAGGACTCGAACCACACGGTGGCGTTGGGGCCGGGGTCCGAGCGAACCGTCCACGTCTCGTAGTAGATCCCGGTCTCGTTGTCGTCCTGGATCCAGCGGGCCATGTCGTTGAACTGGTTCCCTACGGTAGGAGGGATTTACGTACAGTTACATCACGGTTTTATAAAGCCTACAAAGCTTCTCTTCACAAAGCTGCTTACTTTAAATACAATGTATATGTATTGTTAAAGTGGAAAAGCTGAGATTTATTTGCAAGCCTTCATTTCACTCCATTTAAACATTTCAAACAACGGAAACTAGATCACAAATTGTGAAAATTTTGTCAGTTAGATATAATTTCTATGCAAACTCCTCACAGAAAGGTCTCTAACATGATTGCTGTGAGAGAATCTTTGTTACTTTAAGTCCTGATATCCAGAGATGAGACAACTTTCAGACAATGTCCGTAAAAGCTGTGTTTTTGGTCCGTGTGATGATCGGCAGACTGTTTCTGTTTCCCGATCGGTGAGATGCTGGAAGGGAATCCTCACCGCTGAGTTCCCCTATTTTCTCCAGGGTGCCATTTTGCAGCCAGTGCAAGTCGTCGATGCCCTCGAAGAAGCAGGCGGCGCCCTGGTTGCACCAGAAAGGCGCGAACTGGTCCGGTCTGAGGTGGGGGAAGGTGCAGTTGCCCAACTGAAACAGCTCGTACCACTCCATGGTGTAGTTGGCTCCGCTCTCTGAACTGCTGAAGCCAATGGCGTCATGCATGATGTGCTGTGAACGGGAAGAACACTGAGTCTGTGTGTGTGTGCAATTACTGGGAAAATAGTACATCTGTGCTTCTATGAATAAAGTCACAAGGCTGCACTTCTGCAAAATCAGCATCTTTATATTTGATTACCTGCAACACACTTCTTCACTTCAGCTGAAAAAAAGGAGAATCTGTTCCTGCTTTGCGTCCAACTATTTCACTTTCGACCAAAAATGTTTGGTTTTTCAGTGAAATCCTCACAGAAATGTTCATATTGTCAGAGATAAAGCGTTAAACGTGTATTTGTTTTCCACTTTTCTTAACTGCAACATATACAGAACATAAATTCCAGACCAAAACCCTGCCCCAGCTCACTGTGACGCTCTGAACAGAGATACCAAGACTCACCAGTTTCCCCAGCAAATCTCCGTACTTGAATTCCCACACCGGCGTCTGCAGCCTGTAAACCGAGATAATGTCACTGTCCCTCATGTAAGGAATGCGTCCGTCGCGGTCTCCGGTGGGGCAGAACGGGTAGAGGGCTTCGCAGTACGAGTCCACGGCAGGCCGATGCTCAAACCGCCTGTGGATGACATAAGGAATCAGAGATGGCTAAAGCACCAGGACTCTCTTGTGATCTTTTAACCTCTTTTAACTCAAGGGATCAACAAGTGTTGTTAAACACTATTCACTTATAATAGCTTTTCTTTTATACTATTTTGTGTTACACCTGTGCAATACCACACCAGATTAGCCTAGATTTGATATTTTTTGAGCTGTGCATATTCTAGTTCTGAAAAACAAATACAATTAGTTGCATTTATCCTTTTTATTATATGATAAAACACTGTTGAAAGTTTAATATACGCTCATCTGCAAATTGAGAACCTAATGGAGACGTTGGTATTATACATTGATGGCCTAAAAAGCTTCCACATCTGTTTTAAAGTCGAAACTTAAGCAAAAACGTTAACCTTCCCCCTACTGCTCATGAAATCCTTCAGATTATGTATTCGCCTGGAGACACCTGAACGCATCAGTTAATGTCTTCTTATTACGGAATAGAATGAGTTTGTTTAATTTTTTTTTAAACACCACAGCACCTTTCGTATGTTAACGTACAAAACGCAGAGCAATAGTTATCATCAGTTTTTCCTCGGACACATGCTTCGTTATGTGTCACATGACTGAACTTTTCAGAGCCTGGAAGGAGCGTCCTGGTCATACCTGTAGGGAACGGGCCACTGCTGCTGTCCGGTGAGCTTAAACGGGGCGACGGCATGAAGAAAGAAGAGGAGGTTCAAACACGAAACGACCTCCAGGTGTGGCATTCTGAATCCCCGAAACACACGCACAGTGAAGGAAAAGTTACGACGGCTACCCTCCCATCCTTTCCCCTCAGAACTAACTTCCTCATCGCTGGTCACGTGGTTTTGTTGATGCTCCAAAATCACATGACGGCAGCACCACAGAAGAAGAAAAAAGTTCTTATTTTGCAAAGTCTGGAAATAAGAGTAAAAATCCAATTGAATTGATTTATCCCGAAATTAATAAGTAGTTCAATACAAATGCAAACAAATGCACATAAACATATGAAACCACAAAAATATGTTATTTTTTAACATTACTGGAGTCGTCATACAGTACATCTGTTCTTTTTTCAATTTACATAAGAAGGACCTCTAAAATCTAAATTAAAATAAAATAGTAACTAAATTCCAATAAATGGTAACTAAATTCCACTTGTATGATGTTGGAAAAACTAAATGAAAAGTAGATATATAAACATTCCAAAATATTGTTCTCATTTTTCCTGTTCACGTTAAATTTTCAGATGTATTCAGATATTTTGTTATATTGTTATCTCGTTAAATCATTCTTAGTTTATATATCTAACCTGTTATCAGAATTGTTTTATTGCTTCTGCGACCCCATTAGGGAATTAGCGGTTACGATAGTGGATGCATGGATCTAATTGCTTTAATTAATTAATTAATTATTAATATTTTGTCATCATCTATTTGAGAGAAACCTTTGACCTGCGAACACAAGCAGTCTACAGACTCCAGCACGGGGTGGCGCTAATGAGCCGGTAGGCCCGAACGCAAATCTCATTTTAAAAACGTAGAAGAAGAAGGAGGAGGCGGAGTTGTCTTCCCCGCTGACAGTCCGCCATGCTCACCCTGCTGCACTGCGGCCGGAGCCTGCTGACGCCCGGGACTGTGCGCAGCCTCAACAAAACTTTCTACTCCGCACAGATGGCGAAGCGGGTGGCCGTGGTGCTGGCGGGCTGCGGAGTTTACGACGGCACTGAGATCCACGAAGCCTCCGCTGTTTTGGTGCACCTGAGCAGAGGAGGTGCAACTGTAAGACTTTTAATCTCCACAGCTCGCAGCTTGTAGTTTTCTTTTTGTAGGAGAGGGGTCAGTTAGAGAAAGCCTGAAAGGATATGAACACACACCTGACCGCAATGTGGCTTGCTAAGGCACATCACTGCTATTAATTTGAATCATCCATTCATATTAACGTGTTTTATCCAGACTGGTTGACCCGTGAGTGACCTCTACTAAAACTTGAACGAGACCGCTTCAACTTGAGTGATAAAGTTTGACCAGTTAAGCGTTTATTGTACGCACATACACACACACCAAAAAAACTCAGGCTGAGGAGCCTGATTGAGGAGAGATATAGTCTCTTTCACGCGATAAATGACAAGATCCAGTTACCAAGGTTTGTTATGATCGTGTTTAAAAATACTTGCTCATGCAAAATGACGTGAAAGCTTTATTTTTGTCTCTTTATACCCCCAAAACTGCTCAACTGCAGGTACATCTGAATCTGTGGCATCTTCATTCTTGCTCATACAGATTTTAAAGAGCAGAGAAGATAAATTCATTTTCTTCCAGTGACTTCAGGAGCAGGGTGGCAACTACTTGGAGTTCAGTTTAGTTGAAAATGTAACTCTTCCTTTTATTTTTTCGCTCTGAATTACCCCTCGTCTGAGAAGCGCACTTGAAATTGAGTAATAAACGCATCCACCACACTTGGTGACACAGGGACAGAATTTGACCTACCAGCTCGATCACATAACTTTGTGATGCTGCTACATGCCCATAACTGCAACCCACCTCCTAAAACTAATGACCTGAACTGATTCAGAAGCAGGTTTTACATGGTTTTACAGCTTATGGTGGCCCGAAATGGTTTCAAATCTTAAAAGAAAAGCGCATCCCAGTACTGCTAAAGGATTTTTAATCACCTGTCTGTGTGGTGAGAGGCTCTAATGGCTGGGAAACTGGTTCTCCTCCCACAGGTGAACATGTTCGCCCCCAACGTTGACCAGATGCATGTGATCAATCACCTGAAAGGGGAGCCGTCTGAGGAGAAGAGAAACGTGCTGGTGGAGAGCGCCAGGCTCGCCCGCGGAAATGTCCAGGATCTCTCTAAACTCAACGTCAAAGACCACGATGCGATCATATTTCCAGGTCTGTCTTGTTTAGGGTGGCTGTCTCATTCCCAAAGTCTCCACACTTGTCTGTCCAGGCGTTGAGAGTGTGGGCTAGTCTTAATTTTTCTCTTCCCCCCCCCCCCCCCCCCTCTCAGGCGGTTTCGGGGCAGCGAAGAACCTGTGCACGTGGGCGGTGCAGGGGAAGGACTGCACGGTGAACGAGGAGGTGAAGGCCGCCCTGCAGGCCTTCCACGGGGAGGGCAAACCCATCGGCCTCTGCTGCATCTCGCCTGTCCTGGCCGCCAAGGTCTTCCCCGGCTGTGAGGTGACCGTCGGCCGTGAGCAGGACGACAAGTAAGTCCAACGGGTCTAAAGACCTTTAGCATGTGTTCTCGGAGAGAGAAATGAACCCGGAGCAGCCCTGGCCCATTTTTTGTTTCCCCAAGGAAAAATAAAGCACCAGAACTGTACTTTTCCACAGGTTGCTTTGGCAATTTTTAATGTTTGTTACTCTGGATTCTTTTGGGTGGAGTATATATCTAAAGCTGGGCACTTGAGTGGGATGTTAATAGCCATCAACAAGCCTAAGAACCACATCTGGACAGGACCCACAAGATGACTGTTAAGCCCTGTTTGCCCTTGAAGGCCAAACTCTGTCTTCAAACAATAAAAAGAACGTGTTAAATAAAATAAAAACTTTAAAAGTAGACTTTTCTATTTAAAGTCTGTTTTTAACATTGTTTAACGTGGCCCCGTTAGTCTTAACTTCACATCTGTTTAAAGCCTGACTCAAAGAAAATGTTTGCTTGTATAATAGCGCCATCTTGTGGAAAAAATGCTCTCCGTGATCTCAGTTTAAACCCATTTTTTTCCTGGTTATATTTAGTTTTATGTGGCTATTTAGAGTTTGTGGACTAGTTTATGAAAGCAGACTAATTGCTTTCAGCTATGTGTTTGTTTCACAGATATCAGTGTATTTGTAATCAATTGTAAAATAGGTTTATAGTTATTTTCATATTCCTTGTGAAACTAAATGGAATATTTTGTTATAGGACTAGAAATAGAATAAGGTATGAGACTATACATTAAGTTCTCAATAGGTCGAGACTATTCTGACAAATCAAGCTTAGATTATCTTTCTTGAAGTCAGAACTCTGCATCAGAAGTTGGAGAAAAACTTTAAAATAAGTCCAAACAAACGAGCTCTTGACAGCTTTTCGCATCGGGTCGCAAGGGCTCCCTGTTAGGCGCCTTTTCAAGCGAACCCCCTCTCCTGGCCCAGGTACCCGGACACCAGCGACACCGCCGCCGCCATCAACCAGCTGGGCTGCAAACACGTGAGCACGAGCGTGGGCGAGAGCCACCACGACCAGAAGAACAAGCTGGTGACCACCTCTGCCTTCATGTGCAACGCTCCCATCCACGAGATATTCGACGGGATCGGCACCATGGTGCAGGGAGTCCTGAAGCTGGCCTGACCCCAGCGATAGTTCACAGATCGGGGCGGCGTAGGGGTGGACGGTGGGTGGAGACCTTTAGAGCAAACCGGCCCAGACTTAAAGTCACATCTTGATTTAAAATGACCTGCAGAAACAGAAGTAAAATAACTTGTGTTTGTGGTAGTTCTGAGCAACGGTTGGAGTCATATTTTTGGGACATATTTATCATTTAACAAGCATCTCCATCATTCTGACCATGTTCTGATGCAGCAATTCCAAATCACGGCGTCAAATATTTAGGAAATCAACACAAAACCCTAATGAAAATAAACTCGCTTTGTTCGCTTTATTATTGCAAAATAAAAAGAGTATTTACAGAGTGATTATTTTATCTGAGCTTTCTTCAAATGTTATGATCGTCACATCCTCTCTTCGTGCGCCCGCTCATGGTTGTGGCTCGCCATTCTCAGATACGAGCCTATGACCGAGCATTCCGGCACCCGCTCGATGTTCCCCACGGCCTCGGCCAGCCCCGCCACGCCCTCGGGGCGCAGCGCCGCGGAGGCGTTGGCGCTGAACTTGTCCAGCAGGTGCTCCTGGCTCAGCGGCCTCCTCCAGTGGCCGTAGAAGGCCTCGCACCTGGCCGCGTGGCGGCCCCCCCCGGCCGTCTCTATCTCCACCTCGCAGTACATCCGGTCGAAGTCGGGCCGGTTGTCCGCGGGCGTCTCCAGCCGCACCTTGGCGAGGAGCCCCCTCAGAGCGGGCCGGCCCATCCGGGCCTGGCCGTAGGAGGCGGCGGTCACCTCGCCGTCCGTCAGGGCCGAGCACACGCTGAACTGGAAGGAGTGGCGGGCCTGATGCTCGGAGGCGGGCGAGGGGCAGTCGATGTACTTGGACGGAGGGGCCCGCAGCGTGACCCGTCGGATCTGGCCCAGGTCCACCCCTCCGACCGCCTCCTGGAGCTTGGCCCGAGCGGCCAGGGTGGCGTCCACTGCCCAGTGCATGGCCAGGTGAGCGGGGATGCGCTTGAAGGCCACGTCCTGTTCCTCCAGAATCCATTTAAAGTCGCCGGCGGTCACCTCCATGGCCGAGGGGCTGTAGTCCGTGTAGTAAACCCCCAAGCCGCTGTGCGCATCCAGTATGGCCGGGCTCCCCTCCAGCCCCAGCCCGGCCAGCTGGGCGGCCTCCAGGCCCCTCTGAGCCGCGTTCCCGATGTGGAGGGGCTTGGTCTGCGTGGCGGCGTTGGCCAGCGGGGCCCCGGCCGAGGAGGCCGCGATGGCCAGAGCGTGGCTGCACTGGGCAGCCGACAGGCCCAGGAGCTTAGCCGAGGCCGCGGCGCTCCCCATCACCCCAACAACGCTGGGGGGGTGGAATCTGCTCAGCCAGATAAGAAACCAGAGGTAAGATCTTGGGTCATTCATGCACCAGTTGATATAAAGCATAGACTTTTGGTTCAAACGGCTGAAACGGGACTTTTCCTTTCCTTTGCTGGCACGTAAAAAGATATTTAAAGCTTCTTTGTGCATATGTTGGATCTAATTGATTAAAAATAATGAGCACACCAGATGGGGTTCTGCTTTTAGAACTTTTTGTGGGCATTTTATTTAGAATTTCTTTTGAAGTTTGAGCTTTGAGTAAGGGCGCCTGCTGTGGAAATATTAAACCATTCTTAAACACGGAAAATAAACAGTATAAAAGAAAAGTAAAGTTAAAAAAAAAATAGCTCCATGGCTTGTTACAAAGACCATAATTGCACTTTTCATAATTTAGTTTAAGAAAGCCTTTTAAAGCATTAAGTTGGGCCAGAGCTCTAGCATTTGCAATATTTACCCTTTCACGCATGAATTATGAGAATAGCATTTTTTCCAAAGAGTTTTTGATTTTCTTAAGGCATTAAGGCTTTGATTTTCTTAATGATTTCTCAATAACTTGTTAACAGAAAGCATAAACACAGAACACTGCATGCTACTCTCCACCTATTCTAATATTCACTACTATCTGATCCCTTTTCTCACTCTCTCCCATCCATCCATTATCGTAACCGCTTCTTCCCTAATGGGGTAGCGGGGTGGACTGGAGCCTATCCCAGTGGTCAATGGACACCCTGGACAATCCGCCAGTCCATCGCTGGGCGGTGCGGTATTTTTAAACAACCACTCACACAAACAACCACTCACACTCACTTCTAAGGGCAATTTGCTATGTCCATGTAGGTTTTTGGACTGTGGGAGGAAGCCGGATAACATGCAAACTCCGCACAGAAAGGTCCTGGTTCCCCTGAGGACTCGAACCCAGAACCTTCTTGCTGTGAGGCCATTGTGCTGACCACCACAACACCCTGCCGCCCTCACTCTCTCCCATTAAACCCATTTTTATATTTTAGTCCATCTCAGCTCCTCTTTAACAGCATATTGCTGTAGTAGTTGGCGGGGATTGTATGATACCAGTGTCCACTTCAGTGGCCTGTGCACATGTAAAACATAAAATCCCACATATACACACAAAAAAAGGCTTTTTAAATAGCTGTCCAATGCAGTGACCGCTGTGCATGAAAGGGTTTTAAAAAAAAAAACAACAACAACAAAAGAACTCACCTCTCGGGGATGTTGGAAGCCTCTCTGGAGAAGCGCATCAGCCTGCCCTGAACTTCGATGCCGACGTTGAAGGCGAGCAGCAGGTCGAGGCCGGAGGGCTGGACGGGCAGCGCGTCGGCCAGGGCCAGCAGGGCGGGCAGCACGGCTCCAGAGGGGTGCGTGGCCGGGTGCCAGGTGTCGTCAAAGTCCATGGAGTGAACCTGACGCCACAGGGCAGGGACAGAGCCGGTCAGCAAAGATGGAGGCAGGGTAGAAATTTGCGAGGCCTGTTTTTTTTTTTTTGTTAAAAGAAAAAGATCTTTTATGAAAATGTATGGGATCAAACTCACTGCGATGCCGTTGACGAATGCAGCGTGAGGAGGAGGCAGCACCACGTCAGACCTTCCCCAAACGCTGCTGCTCCGCTCAGATGTGAACAACTGTGGTCAGACAAAAAATAGGAAAAAGTTCAGCTTAACAACCACAAAAGCACAAAAGTGGCAACTGAAAGTATAAAAAGAAACATTTCATAAAAGGAAACTGAAATATCTGCAGATATGTGTGTGTTAGTCGGTGTGTAAGGTCAATTTCACATTTTAAAAAGAGAAAACTTGGTTATAGTATTTGTTAGAATTTGGCTATAATTATTCACTTTAGGATAGTATACTATCACATAATCTGTGACCAAATAAATGTAATTTTTATAAGTTTGATCTAATCAGTTTTTTTCTCAGGTTTCCAACTAAAGAATCGGGCTAACATATTCAAATCAATAAATACCGTACTTCCAGTAAATATGCAGAATTTCCAAAAGAATCTGCGTTTTTCTTAGTTGGTTGACTTAAATCTCTCTCTGTGAGTGTTTGTGAGTGAGTGCAGCCCCACACTCCACTGTACCTGGCAGTAGCTAAGAGCCTTGTTGAAGACGGCCGTCCTAGTTCCTAACAACCCGACACCCAGGGTGTCCAGCATCATCCTTTTGCTCCTGATAATCACATCCTGCGTCAGCTGAGCGGCGCTGAGGGCGTGAATGGCGGCTCCAAAACTCTCCGTAACACCCTGAGGAGGAAAAAAAAGCCCCGTCAGTGCAAAGCCCCGCTGGGTCAGGACGGACAGTGTGGAACATCCAGTTGTTCGAGTTAGAACAAATAGATTGAAATACAGAAATGGTGTAGGATAAAATGTAAAGCTAAGAAAGCATGTGAACCAAACACAAACCTTGCGCAGCATCGTTTTGCTGTCGGCAACCTCCCTGAGTGGGAAACCGTCTAAGCTCAGTGGTGTTTTATAGGTCTCCGGGCTGGTCAACAAAATTTCCAAAGTGGCTAAAATTCATCGTGATGTGGTCTGGGTACTTTCACAATGACTGGATGTCACCTTATCATTTTTTCTATTCCTTTTTTACTGATTGAAACTGTAGTCTGTGAAGAAATATGCAAAACTTTCTGCATTGTTGCAATAACATTTTTCAAAAAGAAAGCTGCATTACACTAAAAGTATGAGCAAAAGAAAAAAAGGCCGATAGTTAACACCAAAAAGGGATGACGAAAACTGACCGTAAACTTTTGAGGAACAGAAAAACTATTTAGCTGTCTTTGTGGCTTTTCCTGACACTAACAAAAACATGTCATGAGTTTTTTGGGTCTAACAACGTGGGGAAGGAATCCTTTGTCTTTCACAATCCTCATTCTTTTTTCTCTGAGATCAGAGGCACTGGAAACTCAGCCTTCGGCAATGGGAAGTTCTAAAGACAGAAATTTGTCATGAGGATCACCGCAGCCACTCACGGACAGTAACGTAACAGTTGGCCTGACTTCTAACGGCCGGGAAAGTGAGTGTTACAAACCTGAACCTTCAGCCTGGTTTGCTCTGTTAAGGGAATTTAACACACCAGCAGCAAACTAAAAGTGTCTGCTCCATCCCAGAAGAAGAAGTTTCACGATGAGAACGTGGGGAAAGTGTATGAAGTGGTGCATACTCACAGATCTTACAGGAACATGATACTTAAATCACAAATTTGTCAAATTTAGACAAAACTGAAATATGTTTATGGTACAGGGCATTGAAGTATAAGGAAACACTCAGTGAGAGTTCATCTCCCTGAGCTGTACCAAGCAAACATTTACTCAGAAATCAATCTGAGAGAAAGAGAGGTCCTGAGTGTGGAGAAAGCAAAAATTCATTTCAAATGTCCACAATAGCATTTAATGAGAAAACTTTAGTCTAACACCCCTGTTGACCCATAGAATATTTGATTTCATTGTTGGAGCCATCCACTTTTAATCTTCTACTTTCTTTCAAACAAGTTTCCTAATGTTTGTTTCAATCCATCCTTCTTCTTACCAGGGTGATGTTCCATTATCCTGAGCAACAATTCCATTTTTAAAGTTGATCGATGAGTTAGGGAGTCGTTCTTTGCATGGAAATCCACATCCCTTCATTTTGAGACCACCTTTTTTCTGCTCTAACTGTATCCAAAAATTCATCATGTATATCCTGGTATTCATGTTTGCACTTTTTAACATTTTGTTTGTTTTGTTTTTCGAGGTCACCCGACAGAGCTCCGTTTGATGACTCCTCCATGACTGCCCTGCGGTTATTTTGCAATCAGATTGGAGCTTCCATTTGCCTCGAGCTATCCTGTGAGCGTCTTTCTCAGAAAGCTTACTTCCTTTAACTCGCATTTCTTCACTATTAATGAGGCGATGAGCAAACTGCTGCCCTTTGCTGTCTGTAAACCTTTGTTTTATTTATGGCCATCGATTACTGAAATCTTGTAAATGTGGATCAGCTGCTGTGAAGAATGAATTGACTTTTGCATCATCTGACCTTTTTCTACATTGGTGGAGGTTCTCGGCCGTCCAAATCATAACCTCACCAAAGAAACGACACTAGTCCAGTTACTTAACTTCAATAAAGGAGGAAACCTTTTTTAATGTGAGGTGATATTTTCAAAAACCAAGGACATAAATCTAGTCGCTTCTATTGAAGCTCTTGGGGTTATACTCCTAAATTAAAATGGCCTTCGACAACTAACTGTGACACTGGAGCTGCATGCTATTGCCATTTAAATCAGCCACCCCCATCTTCACTCTGACAGTTGAATTTCATGGAGTGGAACTGAAGGATTCGGCTGAACACTCAAGTCCTCTGAAAGCTACAGTAATAAAGCGAAGGGACGCGATTACACTACTGATACTGTAGCAAATTATTTATCTATTATGTTGTCAGACAGGACTCACCCCAAACAACACATCAAACATCCATGACAAAAAAATGTAAAGTCACAATTGGCTGAATTAATATTTGAGAAGTGTTCCCATGTTATGTTTCCCCTTTTTTTTATTTCACAATATTGCAAAACTAAACTAACTAACTTTTATCATTTTAGCCTATTCATTCATCAAATTCATTGTTTCATTCATTGTTTCATTCATTTGTTTTCAACATCCATTCATCTTGGACTTCCTAACAATCTACAGTAAAATGTTTTTCAACTTTATCATGTTTCTCCATCTCTGTGAGTTTCTTTTTCCTGGTTTTGCTTTTTAAATACAACTCCATCGGATTTGACCGTGTTTGTTGGCTGCATTTCCATCCAATTTGCAACGGGGGTCACTCTTTCCCCACTTTTGAGTTCTCCGCGCAAAATCCAACCTAAACCAGATGTTCTGGCTTTAGATTGTGTGCTCTTAAGAAAACAGCACAGTTTATCCCATTCAATAAACCATCAGACAGAGATACAGAGATCTGGGCAGACAGTTAAGAGTGGAGGCAAAGAGGAGACACAGAAAAGTGGACTGAATATAGAACTTCCTACACGTGGATGAACGGATTCTCTCTCTCCACATATCAGTTTTGCGGGCAATATAGGAGAATATCCGCCCGAGTGACAGCAACTCAGGAGTTAAATGTTAATACATTTGTCTGGCTCGGCTGCACGCGCGCTCACGCACGCGGTCTGCCGGGGCTTCATAAGCCAGCCGCTGCCTGGCCGTGCCTCAGTATTTACGCACCAGAGCTGAAGATGGCACTGGCCGACGTGGATCGCAGCGCGCCGGGCTGCGGGGACCCGGGCTCCCCGTTTTCCGAGATCATCGAGCTCAACGTGGGCGGACAGGTCTACGTGACCAGGCACAAAACCCTCGTCGCCGTGCCCGACTCGCTGCTGTGGAACATGTTCAGCAAGAAGTCGCCCAAGGAGCTGGCGAGGGACAGCAAGGGGCGCTTCTTCCTGGACCGGGACGGCTTCTTGTTCCGCTACATCCTCGACTACCTGCGCGACCTGAACCTGGTCCTCCCGGACTACTTCCCGGAGAAGAGCCGGCTGCAGAGGGAGGCGGACTTTTTCCAGCTGAGGGACCTGGCCAAACGGCTCAGCCCTCGGATGAGCAAGGACAACTCCATGAGCGAGGAGATCAGCCAGAGCGACACGGAGGAGGGCGCGCAGCAGTGCGGCTCCTCCTCCGGCGGCGGTGCCATGGACACTTTACGCACCGTGTCCACCGTGCGCTCCCCGTCCCTGGACTCCAGGAAGTCCGGCTACATCACGATAGGATACCGGGGCTCGTACACCATCGGCAGAGACATCCAGACCGACGCCAAGTTCAGGAGGGTGGCGCGCATCACCGTGTGCGGGAAGACCTCTCTGGCCAAAGAGGTGTTCGGGGAGACGCTGAACGAGAGCCGGGACCCGGACAGACCCCCCGAGAGATACACGTCCCGCTACTATCTCAAGTATAATTTTCTGGAGCAGGCGTTCGACAAGCTGACGGAGGTGGGCTTCCACATGGTCGCCTGCAGCTCCACGGGCACCTGCGCCTACACCAGCAACGATCCCAACGAGGACAAAATTTGGACAAGCTACACCGAATACGTATTCTGCCGAGAGTAAGCAGCAGTGTTCAAAGGCCATGTCGCTGTACATAACACATAAAATAGTCTAGAGAGGGATATATCTTGGAAAAACGGCCACTTTGCTGTGCTGGATGGTGACTGAATTGCTGATAAAAAAAGGTGAGATACAATAGCCATCTATGTAGATCTCTTCTCTAGACGCTGACGACATGTCAAAGATGACAACAAGCCGTTGGTCGTCTCCAAGTGAGCAGAGCATGGCTTTGAATTGACACCACCATCAAAACACGACCACCTTGGTTTTTGTAGAACTGCACGTCAGCCACAGGAGCAGACGAGCAGCAGCATAGTATTCAGTGTCATTGTAACTCCTATAGGCTTACTTGTTTGGCCAAGTTTTTTGTAATCTCTTCTACACCCTTCTGGCAGTTCTTTCGCTGCAATGATTGTAAGTGTACGTGGAGTGGTGGTTGTATTTGTAATAACCTGTTCCGACTGAATAAAATCTTCTATTCTTTCATTCTCAGCTCTTTGCCAAGAGTTTTCCTCTCTGCCAATGCACACAGTGTGTAGAAACCTGGCCTCCGACTCTCTGCAACCATTTTAAACCCTGCTCTTTTTTTGTTTGTTTTTTAGAAATTCAAAGCTTCAACCCTTCCCAGATTTCTCACCCCTGCATGGCACTAAAAGCTGCCAACTCGACAAAATTTGTCATGCTGTTTTCCAGCCAGAGGGCTCTATCTGTTTCACGGCGTGCTCACGACTCCTTTAGAACCCCCTCCCCGGCTGTTCCGCGCCGTGCTGCCGTTTTTTAAGCGGTGTGTCTAATTTCCATTCACCTCCTCCCTGTCATTAAATCACAGAGGCCTCAACATCTGACATGTAAATATTGCAGCGGGAATCTTTTTCGGGGGCCGATTTATTTGGTCACTCGAAGACAGCTGCATGTCGCACGGATGCAAATAGATGCAGCTGTGCACACATGATGCCATTATCATTCGGAGTGTGAATAATGAAAGGGTGCAGCTGCACACAAACGGGAGGCTGCCGTCTGTCGTAGGGTGAATGGCGAGTCCATGGCCAGGTCGGCCTCGAATCACGCATTTCTGTCAAAATATACACGAAAATACAACTCAATAAAGGATTGGATGACTCAAGGGTTTTCCAGGGGTCTGAGGATATCTCACTAAATTATATTGTTGACTTGTGTGTCCCAAATGCTTCATGCGGCCTCTGTTTGGTTTTGAAAAGTTGGATTAAATGTGTGCTGCCTGGATTGAGATGCAATCATCTTTCAGGATGTGGATCCCCTTGGGCTTTTTTTTTGCAGACAAAAGTTTGCTTAAAGTAAGTGCCCTGTCGCTGTGTATTATCTGTACAGAAATCTGCGCATATTAGGAAAAGTCACAGTAGGAAAAGCACGAGTGAAAATAAAGATTGACGGATCCCATTTGGCTGCTTCGGTTTCTGGCTCTTCCGGGCTGACTTCTGGGCTCCCATTCATTTCACCGGTAGCACCTGAGCTTCAACTAATGAGCCCCCTCTTTCATTAACTATTAAACACCAAACAAACGCTTGGAGGAAGCCGAGGTCAGGATGCAGATGAACGCAGAGACAACGAGTCGTAAGCTGTTTCAGCTTGTGACCCAACCTGAGTCTGAAAATGTCTTCAAACCTTAATGCAACAACGAAGAGAAGTAAAATATCAACATCAATTAACAGAAGGAAAGAATCAGGATAAGTATGTGCTGATATATGCTTGGTTTAGCTATGTATGAAGAGTTCTAAGTTAAACCTGTGAGTTTGATCAATTTAACTTTAAAATAAACTTTAGTATTAGATGTTCTAACTGGGATTGTTCTTAACTGACATTTATCACATATGTTTTAGTAGTACTGTACCATGAATGATTAAGTTGAAAAAATAAGATACAACAAAAGTATAGAAACACATTAGAGGATTCTGACTACTGTTTTGTTGTCGCAGGGAAACACCCGCTATCAGTCACCAGCCTGTCGCAGATCAGACTGACTCACGGCCACATTTCCACACCGAGCAGGGAGGTGTTCAGAGGCACTGCACTGAGCTGCAGGTCTGCGGGACTCTGCACAAGCCCCTCATTCTCTGAAGTGTTTGGTGATCTCTTAGACACTTCAGCCAGAGAGCAGAATTTCACAGAGACCATAAATCCACACCTTAAATGGATAATAACTTTCTTTTTAATGAAATGATAAGGACTTAGATAAAGCAATCTGTCAGGGTGTTTCTTTATTATTTTTTTAACAGACTCCTTACTGTTTTAACTTTTCGTTTACACATGTATCGTGTTTTCAAATAAGTCACATTGCATTTATCTGATACTGATGTAGAAACTAACCTTGTTCTAATGTACGATAACCAGAGTTGAGGTTGAAATTAAATGCTAGGTACTTTGCGTTGTTACAGGCCTCAGCATTATATTTAGGCCTCTATCTTCAACAATCTCTTGAAGACTCAACTCTTCTCAGAGCATCCTCTGCTGACACCCAGGACATCCTAATACTGCTAATCTGCGTTTACTTTGCACTTTCTCTACTTGCTCTGTGAACAGGTAAAACGGTTAATTGGCTACGGGTTCCCGGTTAGAACCCCAAGGGGGGGTTTTCAGAAGAGGAGGCCACTGACTGCTGACAGAGCAGGCTGCCCTTGTTGTTTGCTTTGAATTTTATTGACGTAGAATGGAAGGAGGATAAATATCCTCTTCAGTTTTTTTCAACATGATAATGATGTGATGACAGAGAACAAAGAAGGACACCGACAGAAAAACTGTGTCAGGGACCAAAAGGAAACAGACCGAGGGAAGGTTGAGTTCTGATTTCTTTCTATTTGTTCCTCTCTCCCCTCTGTGTCCTGCTTTCGCCTCACTGATGTGGTCCTCAGCCAATCAGGGCTGCCTGAATTCCACACGCCAGTCCACTGTTAAGTTTCAGTCTCTTGAATCATTATTATTTTCCTTATCAAAGTGGGTTTCATTAGCACATCCCGACAGTAACTCCAAACCAAAGGCTTCATTATTCTAATTAAATTCAGAGTCATAAATACATTTCAAACTTCACTACAGGGAATCCACTAACATTCACGAAGGGGATGGCTCTAGCTGGGATACACATAACAGCGTTTCACTGGCTTTTATATGGTGTTGAAGGGGCCCAGGACTAGCAAAAATACGTCTCAGTGATTGCAATATCAAACGATCCATTCAATTTCAAAGTATATTTTACCTTTTTGATCTTTTAGGGGCTACATGCAGCACTTTTAACACATTCTAAAAGAAAAAAAAAAAGGAATCCAAATATAAGAATAATGAATCTTATTTCATTCAGTAACAGTAACAAAAGAATGGAAACTGATTTGTGCTTCTACTCTGTATGTTATTTGTCAGTGTACATCCTAATATGTTTTCACACATTGACTCTAAGGAAACTAAAAAATAAAGGGAGAGATATTTCTTTTCAGATCTACTGCAGCGCCACATCACAGAAGCTCACTGTCATTTGCTTAACAGCTGTCCAGATGCCAGGATGCTGGGCTCTTTCACTGTCCAGGCTTAAAAACTGTGAGACGACAATGTTTACGCAGGCAGCAGTTTTGCTTCACTGTCGACATCAAAGTCAAGTTTTCGAAAGCCCTGCCGTGTACTTTTCATTTCCAACCGTATCCATTAATAATTAGAATGGCAAGGAATCACAGAAGTACAGTGGACGCAGAAAAGTGGATGAACTGTGGCAAAGGCTGTTCAGCAATTTTAGTCCTGAAGGTTAAGGGGCTGAACACTGGCTACTGACTTATTCTTTCACTTTAGAGGGTGTGACTGTGGCCATGTCCCAGCAGTAGAAATGAGTACAAGAGGTGTATTAAACGAAGGGTTTGACGGAGGAAAACATACTGTTGTATAACTCCAAGCCTAGTATGCAATATGAAATTGTTATGTATGACTCCTTTGAACAACAGACTATTTTATGGTCTGTCACGTGTACCGTCACAAGTCACAATACACCCAACTGGTTCATTGGTTTATGAGAAAATATCAAAAAATATTTCCATGTGATTTATGTAAAACATTTCCTGATGATTTACACAGTCTCAGTCACTACTCTCAAGTCTTCTACAGCCCTTTAAGGCTCTTGCTTCTGGGTGCAATTTTCTGTTCTAATTTTTCTCTATATCTTCAAAGGCTAATGCAGAGCACTAAATATTATTCTCAAGTTGTCCTCTACATGCCATGATCTATTCTCTAAAACTCTGATCAGCAGTCTCCAGATTAATGGAACGTGTCCGACTCACCTCAGCCGAACTGGCCAATATATTGGCAATTAAACTCCCAACTTTTTATGACACTTAAGTTCTTTTGAAAATCACAGTCATCAAACAGAAAATGTTCTTCCACATCTGCAGTGTGCTACTTTAAAAACCTTTTCATTCTTTCTTACGTTTCAAGTTTCCTCGAATTTCAAGGGTTTTCTACAGATGAGATGACGTGACAGCAGATCCATTTTTAATCTATTTAAAAAAAATCAAAAACCAGGTTTGGATTTGAACAAAAAAGGGACATTTGCCAGGACTTTCAAAATCACAGTGACTTTCTTAAAGGAGCTTAATATCCCATAAAAAAATACAATAATTTGATGTGTTTAGAGACTATTTCTAAACTAAATAGACCCTCATGGTGAATGTTTTTTTAGGGAAATGGTTAGACATCAGTGAAATGCAATGCTATGTGACATGAAAGATGCTTTTGCTTCCTCCCTGAATTCGTGTTTCCAGTCGTTTGAGTCGGGCTGCAGGAGCGGAATCAGGACATAATGAGAGAGCTACAAGTGAATGCGGTTCCCCTTCCAGAGGTTTTCAGATGAATTCTGAGAATTGGTGCTGGTTGCCAATGCTCCGGTTTGAGCATTTCCACATCTGGTTTGGTTTTTTGGGAGGAAGGCAATTTTGTGTAAAGGAGGCAGAATTACAGGGTGCAGAAGCATAAATAAAGTAAGATGTTTATGTCTG